GTGAGAGAGGCAAAGCAGCAGTCTGCAATGGAAGTACAAAACTTCAGGTCCTCAACATGAAAGGAAAGTAGACTAAAGTGTATTAAGAGATGTGAATCATCAAATTAGCATGCAGTACTGGATATAGCAGTCAGTATTGGTAGGGTTTTCTGTAGGAAAATCTGCGGTATTTTTAGCTGTTGCTGTCCGATGTCTGTCAGAAAAGTTGGACTGAGCAAAATGAGGTAAAATAGCATTTTATAGTAACTTCCTTTGGATGATGATCTCTCTTCCATCTATTTTTCTTCAAATGCAATTGTTCTAGCCAGTTGTTTGTTCTCTTGCAAAACATGTGCCTAAGAAGCTAGCCTGCTATCCAATGGATGTCTGTATTGGGTCAGAAAGGTCCCCCTTTTCCAAGGAAGGCAGATCAGGTGTTTGTTTACTTCATCAAATGCTATGCATGTGAAGCAGAGCACAAGGTCTTCTATTGAAATATCTGCAAATGTGGAGGTCTGAAGTAAGTCTGTTGGCTGGGAAGGGTGTTTGGTTCCTCAGGTATAGCACGTTGAGCACCTTGCAGCTCCTGAGCCAGCTCACACTGACACTGGCTGAAATCTGGGTCTGAAAAAAGGCAGGAATGAAAATCCTTCATTGGGAGAACACTCACAAGCCATGTACATTTTAAAATATTCCTGTTCAATAACAATAGCTCTTTTGTTTCTTATTTGCTAATAATAACTTCCCTCCTAGTGTTTTCAGCTGAGCCATCTTAGAGATGACACAGGAGTCTCCCCCACAGACGAATACGCAGTTACTGGCTCGTTACAGAACAGCATGTCCCTGAAGTAGTCCTAACTGGCAGAACACCCTTCTACTTCTTACTCTTCTTCTTTCTGCTTCATGGAAGTCTTTGATCCTGGCAGAGAATTGCAGTTCTGATCACCCGTGTTCAAAGTGCTGGTTGTTTCCCTCGGTGAGCATGAAACTTCCTAGACATCCCTGCATCCTGGACAAAGACAACTTGGGTAGCAGTCAGCCTATGTGAACTGCCTTCTCAGTTAATAACTTCCTCTCCTCAGCTGTAATGTTGTTGACTGCTTAACAAATAGTGCTTTTGACTTGAGAGGTGTTTGCATGTGGTACTGTGAACACTGGGGTAGGCGTGAAGTGATGGTTCCCCTCCAGTTGTCTTTATATGAATAGTTTTATTCCTAAACTTTTTTTCTCTTGCCGGGTAATGCTTGTGCAAGATACCAGCAGCTTCAAAAACTATTGGGAAACATACTTCAAGCTAGAATAATATATATGCTGAGGGACTGCGGGCACATCACTGCATAGAAATGATTGAATTGAGACTTAGAGCGATCTGTGTTATTTCCTTTACTTTTTAACTTTTAACTAAATTTACAGGAAAGTAAATTAAAATGAGCCAAAGAATAATGCAAAGTGTTTTGGACAGAAAAAAAAATCACATGAGAAAACAGTGGATTGACAAAGTAAAATAAACTAATAAGAGCTAATGTTCTTATGGCTAGCTTCAGGTGGCTGAAGCTTATACCAGTTAATAATGAAAGAAAAAATACAATTGGAGAAGAAGAAATAGGGATAGTCATGTCTTTCTAACGATCATATATATGTATGATTGTTATATATATACATCTATCTATCTATCTATATATACATGTGTATATATATATATACACATGTATGTATATGGTACTTATCACATGCTTTAAAACTCATGCTCACTTTGGTAAGGTATCTTCATGATTTGTTCTGTGCATCTCTGGTGTCGACACCAAGAGATGGCCAGCCTTGATGATACTGTGGAATAGCCTAAATGTGTTCTGAGTTAGTGTTTCTTCCTTTACTAAATTTTCAAGATCACTGATTCATATCAATGTATATCCAAAGTATTGTTTTTTCAATTGCAATTGAGTTTCTGTACAACTCTAGAAATCATTGTCCTTGGTTTGGCAGTAGGTTTACTGTATACTGTGTATGTAGATCAGGGAGGTTTATTTTCTCTTTGAATCTCCACTGTAGTCAAAAAGAAAAAGATCTGCAGTGTACAAAAGCCTAATGTTTATTTTGATATGTTTCAGCAGTCTGCAGATTGCAGAGGCCTGCTGAAGTAAATGTTTGGCTTACCACAGTTGGAAAGTCTCATTAGGAAGTTGTTTAAAAATATATAGAAATACTGTAAATGCTGCAATAAGTTCGTTATTAGGATCTCGTTCAGGTTGGAATAGTAATGAAAATGTGTTATTTTCATTAAATAATTAATTAAATAGAAGTAAAAAGTTTTACACCTTCATAATTAACCCCAGAGAACAAACTCCCTTCACAGATTAACACTGCTTCTGGTTTATGGGGATGATGCAGAGAGAATGAAAGTGTTGTATAGGAAGCTCACAGGGGATCAGATAATTACGGCATCTGTTCTCTTCTCAAGTACGTCTTGGTGGTGGCTCTATTTTGTTTGATAATGTTGAGGTAGGTTATTTATTAATGGAAGGTTCAATCTTTCTCATTCAGAAAGGTAAACTCATGTTATATGGAGAGTTGGCAACAGATTGTTATAAAATGTTATTGCTTCCTAATGTTCTGCTTTCAATGAAAGCTTGTAAAATGAATGAGATGGAGCTAGTGGTGATGATCCCTGTGAGAGTAGAGGGTGACTGTTGAAAAACAGTGCAGCTGGCATACCCAGGAGGTTGCATTTTTTGAGATGTTGAGCTGTAATAAGTGAATACTCTTTCATTGACTCCTAAAAAGCCTCATATAATGAGTCAGAACTCATTCTGTGCAAGTGTGATTTCTCTCTCACTCTTAGTAACTGTTAAGGGAAAGAAGGCAACACTTGATAAAACATCACTGCAGTCTTTTTCCTTTGAGATTTCAGATGGGTTACATAATACCCTTGAAAACTGATGGTGAAATACATGTTTTTGACCTTTATAATTGCCTTGTAAGTGTTCTACAGTCATTCCAATTTTCTCCTCTTCTCAGTATCAGTAAATTGCAGGGGACTCAGGCTAGCCTTTTAAGTTTTATTCATGTAGATAATGCATCTATCCATAAACTACATTTGTAATGTAGTTTTTGAGGAACTTCCCATGTGGCGATACTGCATTCCCCATCATGATAGAGAAAGCTTGTAGCTGTATTTCCCATCCCAAAGAATATACTCTGTAAGCCACTCTTTCTTTATAGGGTGTCCCCTTGGATGCCTGTCTCAGAGTACTCCTCCTTTGAGTACTTCCTGGTTTTGATTCTGTCTTGATCATGGTGTTCATGGCATCCTTGGAAGTGAGTGTGGTTTCATTTGAAGGTCCCCATTGCCAGCTGGTTTCAAAGAAAACAACCTGGAGACCTGTTAGAAATATTCTATTCATTTATTTCTTTGCAACTTTTTGACAAGAGGCAAAGGGTAGAGGTAAAATCAAGCACTTGGAGCTCATTCTCAGCTACACTGATTTCTAGCATCTTAACCCAAGAAAAGCAAGGAGCAACATCTGACCCAACCAAGGCCAAAATGCGCTAAGTCAATGGTAAAGTTGGATAAGCAGAGTTTTCTCTCTTAGCATTGGCTGGAGGCCAAGATGGCATCAAGTCAGAACCCATGGCTATCATCAGGGAAAGTTTTAGGTCAGGAGGGAAGGGAGGAGTATATAAAGCCCTTTTCCCACCCCTGAATTTGTGTTCTAATCTTCCATAGGAATTACTCTCAAGTAAAGCATCTCACTTCATGGGTTCATGCAAGAAATGAAAAATGTGGCTATGGGCACATTCTTCAATTGCCTTAAGGTCTCTGGTAACTAGCAGAAAACAAAGCGATCATATAGCATCTTCGAAGTTAGACCTGCTTTGATCAACAAACGGGACTAGAGGCTTTCCTTCCAACCAAAAGTTTTCTGTTATTCTGTGATTTCTGGAGCATTATCTGTGAAATGGCATGTGTAAAACAGACTAAGGATGATAGAAGCAGTTACCGGTATTTATGCCCAGACAGGTTTTAATTTTAATGACACAGAGAAGTGTAGCATTCAGCAAAGATGAGTTGTTGTGAAACTGCTTTAGAAGGGCCAGTGATCATCAGAACCTTTGGGCCACTTCTGGAAGATAATGGCCACTTCTCCTTAAGAAAACTCAAATCAAAAATGGGTTAAAAAAAAAAAAAAAAAAAAAAAAAAGACTTTATTTAGCCATCAGTTTTTGCCTTACTGAATGGTCTAGACTCCTCAGTGGAGGCCTTGAAAGGTGCCTAGAAGGATCTTCTTTAACTTACCACAAGCTACAAGCAGTATGGTCAAATACAGATTTTGGCTACTACTGGCACACAGCTTTTAACCCATTCCAAAAAGAAATAGGAACGTCATACACATTCACCTTTGATATTATAACATTTGTAAATGTAGAGGCAAAAATTAGCATGACTTTAAATGGTACTTTTTCCTCTTTTTTCTTTATGTATGTATTTATTTACAGCAAAGTACCATGTGAGGAACCTGGCTTCTCAAGTGTTGACAGATACTCTATTGTGAAGGTACTTCTTGTATTTAGGGCTAGTGTAGGAATGGAGAAATGGATGGTAGGGTTTTGTTTTGTTTTAAATTAGATTTTTTTTTCCCTCTAAAGACACTTGCAATTTATTTTGCCACCTGTTCAGACATTGTAGTTTAATTTTGAAGGGTGTGAACAAAACACAGAACTTAGCAACAAAGCAACAACTCACTGAATACATCTTAATGTGCCATACTCCGTGCAAAGTTGATTTACTCTGTACACAGACTGCCTGGCAAGGCCAGTAGATCATTACAAGCTAGACTGAAATAATGTTACATTTAGCTTCTCCATTTATCTTGGGAGATCCAGATGAGATGGCTGGTTAAGCAGCTAAATTGGAAAGCCAAACTAACAAAAACCTTCACCTGGACCTCCCCACACACCCAGCCTCTGACCCATTGTATTAGAATATCGTGTAAAGTGTGTTTGATTTGTTTCTCCTGTGCCAGGTGTTTCATGCTTCTCAGGCTACAAACAATGTGCTAATAATTCTCAGAGGAGTACGGATAGCAATCCTAGAGCCAGAAAAACCAAGTTCAGGAAAGGCAAAGTACACGGTAAGTTAATTTCTTTCCATTCTTTTGTATGGTAACTTGTAGCACAAGAAAGATCTCAAAAAATAATTGTGTCCAAGTGGTCAGCTATGACCTGCATCTCCAGGTCTGTGTACGTGACAGTGATATATTTGGAACACAACTGCAGCATTGTCACCATGAACATTGTTATACTTGGTTAGTGTTGTGTCATACGTGTTCTGGGATTTTGTGATAACATCTTGAGAGAAACTTACTGCAAGGCAGTAGAATTTTAGGGTTCAGGATGGAACCTTTTTAAACATCTGCAACTTACCTGTCATGGAGTCACACTAGAAATCTGGATGTGTGCATGTGGAAGCAGGAGTCTTACCCCAATAAAACTGTGACACGTAACCTTAGCCCCTTCAACCTGTACTGCACTTAGAACTGCAGCCACCTCTGACTGAGCATGCACTAAGTGCCATTCCATGTGGCAGAGCCAACGTTGATGGTGTGCTTTGCCTCAAGTTAGCAGGATAGCCAGCAGATGGCTGTAATGGTAGGTAAAAGTGTTGGCACATGAGGAAGGTAGGGCCAAGACAATACATTTGTAATGTGAAATGTTTAGCATTTGCTGGCATAATTCCTCCCTATTTAAATTGGTGAAAATGAGTTTTGCTTTTGTATTTATTGTGGACTGGATTAAATAATGGAGTGGGCAAACAAAGCTACTTTTGGTGTACTTCCAGAATAGGCAGAAGATAAGGTGATGTGGACAATCACACTGCATGAAATAGGTAACTGGGGACTGTGTGCACCACAGATGATGACAGAGCAAGTTGGCTTAATCTTGTTTTGTTTTAGATTATACATGTATAATTTCATGTGAAAATATAAGATGTCTGATGGTACCCAAACTCGTTTTGAGGACACTCAGCTGCAGAATCCAGCATCACAGAGGATCATTGTAGAGCTCTTGAGTACATAGACTTTTTTTTTCTGCCTCTTTCCAGCTATTTATGTGATCTTTTATAATAAACTTTTAACCGAAGAAAACAATTTTGTTATTAAGAGCACTTTCTTCCTATGTTATGCACATATTGGAACACACTGTACTTTTTGCGTTGCAGCAATGCAATCCTGGAAAAAAGTGCTATCATTACCCCTCCACAGAGGTCTAAATGCTGTATCAAAATGTGGATTACAATCCTGTACAATTAATATATATGCAAAATGTACCATGCATGGTGAAATGATGGTCCATTTCCTTTGTGTATCTTTTCCATGTCTGTTCATTCATAATATTCACCAATGGTGTGTTCCTCAAGTTTAACAGAGGCAGTTCAAGTATTTGATGATCCAAGTGCCATTTTGGATGGGAAAAAGAGCTGTTGTGACTGACAGTGAAAATTAATTCTCATCTAGTCAATATCACATCTCTTATCATTCTTTAGCAAGAAGGCCACAAAGCTGGTGAGGGATCTGGAGAACAAAGTTTATGAGGAGCAGCTGAGGGAGCTGGGCTTGTTCAGCCTGGAAAAGAGAAGGCTCAGGGGTAACCTTATCGCTCTCTACAGTCACCTTAAAGGAGGCTGTAGTGAGGTGGGGGTTGGTCTGTTCTCCCACGTGCCTGCTGACAGGACGAGGGGGAATGGGCTTAAGTTGCACCAGGGGAGTTTTAGGTTGGATGTTAGGAAGAACTTCTTTACCGAAAGGGTTGTTAGGCACTGGAACAGGCTGCCCAGGGAGGTGGTGGAGTCACCATCCCTGGAGGTCTTTAAAAGATGTTTAGATGTAGAGCTTAGGGATACGGTTTAGGGGAGGACTGGTTAGTGTTAGGTCAGAGGCTGGACTCAATGATCTTGAGGTCTCTTCCAACCTAGAAATTCTGTGATTCTGTGTGATTTCTATTCTTTAGTAGGCAGTAGGAATCCAAAAGGATAACTGGGCAATTCTCATAGAAAAATCAAAGCTGGTATCACTGTTCTTCCTAGTCTAGCTAGACAGAATTGAACCAGGGATTTTCTTCTCTTGTGACAAGATAAGCCAAAGTTATTTAATGGGGGAAATCGCATTAAAAATGTACATTTTATAATCACTTTTTAATTTTTTATAGTTAGTATAAAAGTCGCTACTGCTTACATGACACAAGACTGCAGTATTTCGTCACTGTTGAAGGCATATGAGTTAGTAACTCTCAGTCACTAGAGTTATCTCACATCCACATAGGACAAGCTCCGGGTGTCCCCTCTTCCTCAGCTGTTCCTTGCATGGTTCTTTCAGAAGTATCTTCCTTTTTGTTGCTCCACTGACCCACTCATATTACGTACAATGTGCAGTATTGGGTTCTTCCCTGCCCCTCTTCTGCCATGTGACTGCAGTGCTTCTAAATGGTCACATTCTGCCCATGTTAAAGATCTGTCAGATGTGCCAGGAAGGCAGAATGCATGTGCATGTCTTTTGGCATTCAGGCCTTCAGACACATCTATTTCTGAGCGTGCTTTAACTCTTTGCTACAAAATTCTGTGGTGAGAAACCTCTGCAGGTGTCTGTTCCAGTGCCTCACCGCCATCAGAATAAAGAATTTCTTCCTTATATCTATTCTAGATCTCCCTTCTTTCGGTTTAAAGCCATTACTGTGATCATCCCCATGGCCCTCCTCTGGGCTTGCTCTAATAGCCCCATGTCCTTCTTGGGGGCCTCAGAGCTGAACATAGTAAATACATAAATACATTTGCTCTACTAATCTGACAGCAACTCAAATGTCAGCCAAAAGTATGGTCACAGTCAAAAAAGCAAAAAGCTTTCCCTCTAGGAATCCTGTTTATTTATAAATGAGGAACATTTACCGTGTCCCTTGGGTATAATGTTGATGATTCTGCAGCTGTTAAAATTGATTATTTTTTTAAATTGGAAAATCATGTCCCCTCTGTCACTAACAACTTCCAGACCCTCCATAGATGCCATAGTGATTTAGAAATGAGATATTTTGCTTCTCTTTACAGCTCTGTAAGTAGAGAGCTACTGAGCATGTGCAACTGTCTTAGTAACACTGAGTGGTTATACATCTAGGCTCTTCACCAGTAGGGTATAGTTTTGCAATATTTTGTAATGCCTAACCTCAATAATTTTGTTAAGCGTAGCTGTAGTAACATACTAGTGAAGTGTCCTAAATTAGATATCCTGAGAGATATTTGAAGTCATCCTATTTCTCTCCAGTAAGTTGCAAAAGCATTGCAGATTTTCTGCATATTTCAGTACAGAAGTTTCATGCCTTAGTGATTCTGTTCTGTGCCAGTTCTTTACTGTAGAATTAACTCCAGAACATCTGTAGAACAAATCTTCTTGCACACTGTGCTTAGAGGGGGGAAAAAAAAAAAAGTATTGCTAATTGTGTGGGTGGCATTTCTCAGTCTGCTTCGGAGTGCTAGGAACCATATTGTATTATTTTTAAAGCCTCTGAAGGCTGATAACAATCTGTCTGTAACTGTAAAATAATAATCTGATGTAATGACAGGAGAAATAAACTTCCCAGCTGTCTTGATAGAAAAATATGTGCTTGTAACAATTAATAAAAGCAGTTGGCTGGCAAGAAGCAGTGCTAATTTCAATTATGTCTAATAGTAAGAATAATCTTTAAAGCCAAATTAGCTAGGAAACAAATAACCTCTTCTGGGTCCCAGTGTCACAGGTCAGCAGGAGGAGAGGTAAGCAGACTGACTTCCTTCCCTCTGCCCCACTGTTCTGGTCTGGCTTTCAGTGTAACGGCATAGAATTTAGCAGGAACTCTAATTTAAGCACTATTAGCTCCAGTTACTCAAGAACAGATTTATTATTTTTTCTTAATGTGATTTCCTCTAATTTATAGTTAGTGTTAAATTTTCCAAGGTATTCATGACTCAGGTATGTATTTGTGCCTTTTCAACTGGCATCTGTGTGTGGTTTTATTTGTTTTATTAATTAATTGTGAGCATGACTTTATTTATGACACTTATATGTACAGTTAGAGGATTTTCCTAAGTCTTTGAGGAAATCTTCTGTGAATTCTAGATGTTAAATTGTTTTTGTCCAAATGGAGTAAACAAGAGATTTTTCGTTAGAATATCTTCCAGGTTCTACAAAGCTATCACCAAAATGTCATTAGGAGCTAATGCTTGTGTAGCAAACTTTTGAGATGACTTGAAGTTTTTTCTTATGGATAACTGACTATGTGTTCACTTACTTTACTAGACAAATCTAGTTCCTTAAAAACTTCCTATTGATCTATAAGAATAAACATCTCCTTATGTTTGTATGCAAAATGCAGCTCTGTTTTGTCTGTCCATTCGTATCATATCTAGTCTCTGTAATGATCTGTCAGACTGATATTAGCTGTAATAAGAACACTAAAAGTTGGGATTACCATTTGGATTCAAGATGGATCATAATTAAGTTAGCTTTCCCTAAATGACATTTTTTAGAGGGAATTTAATTCATATTTCCGTTGCATATAGTCTAAGTTGCAGTATATAACTTGCCTTTAATATCCTTGCCTCTACTTCCACGTTTTCTGAAGTGGGAATGTAAAGGGAATGTTTCGTATTGAAGACAAAAGACATATAAAAGAACTTTATTTCTACTCTAAAGATGAGATATCTATCCTAGACCAATAGATCTCTTTTAGATTCCCAATTCCACAGTTTTTGTCATGTATATCTTGTTAGGTTCAGGATGACAGTGACCTCTTAAGGAACCGTCTGCAATCAGTGAGGTGTAGAAAGGTAGATAATCTGAAGGAGTAAGTGTGGTGGATGAAGGAAACAGCAGATTTTTCAATGAGTTGTACATACAGCAAATGTTGTGCAGGAAACCTTTCATGTTAAGAATTCAAAAGATTTTAATTCTTCAGTTCATTTTGTCCACTAACTTGTATGAATTCTATGTTTTGGTCATTCTCTACAAAATGTTTGGAAGTATGTTCTTTGGGACAGGTTTATGTGATCAGACGTGAGACAGAACTGTGCGTTATTCTGCACATAGCACCAATACAGAGAAATTGGAGGAAATATTTAAAAAAAAAAAAAAAGGATTGTGTATGTGGTGGGGTTTCATTAGAAAGTTTAACATACAGCCTTCTTTTATTCTGTAATCTATCGTTAGCTCTTCATACAGTTACAGTGAAGATGAGAGACTTGGGAGTTTGTTAGAGTTTGGTATATTATTTCTTTAGCTGCTAATTAAACTTAACTGCTTCAGGTTCTTGTGCCCTTCATAAACTTCTCAAGGACGGCTTGGACTGCAGATTGGCTTGTAGAATTTATCTGCTGTTTAAATGTACTTGTCACCTAAAAGCTTTCTCTTGTAGAACTTTGAGGATTAAACTGGGAGTACTTAGAAAGTTTGAAACGTTAGGCATCTTTATGAAGTCAGAGATGTCACATTATACTTCTATGAATCTATTCATCAAAGCATTTAAAAAACAAACAACAAAAACAGCAAAGATTAAAGACAGTCACTGTATCTGGAGTCTCATAGAAGGTAATTTTCTGCTCATTCACTGTAAAGGAGAGAGGAATGATTAGAGTTTCATCTGCCAGAGTTGTTTATCCAGAATTCTTTTAAAAGGTCCAGAAGGATAAAAGTTTTGTGTTCTTATATTTTTGGGAATAAAAATACAAGTTTATCTTCACTTTTTCGTTTTCTGTCCAGATCTCACATCATGCTCCTCCTGGAATCACTAGCTTTTTGCAAGCTCAGAATGGAGAGGGTGAATAGAAGAATATCCCAAGTTGGAAGGGACCCTCGAGGATCATCGAGTCCAACTCATGGTAGAACTGAAATTAAAGAGGACAGTATACATCGTATATGGCTACCATATGTGTTGGTTTCTCATGATAAATAGCTTTGTGCTGGAAGGCAGTGAGAGATAGTATCAGAGAAGGAAGGAAGGACGTGAGAAGGCTGAGAACCCCCCCAAAAAGACCAGGGGTCTGGGTGAGACTTGATGGATTTATGCAGCCAATGTTTATAATGGATATAGGTAGTAAGCAACTGAAGTAGGGGGTTGATACCTTACTGACTGAGGTTTTTTATTTTTATTTTATAAACTCTGGACAGATTGCACTAACTCTGACAGAGATCTTTTTTGTCTGTCAGTACCAGCAGCAAAATGTATTAGAGGTCATGATAATGCACTTGAGTCTCTGTCCTTATTTCAACTGCCTGAAATGTTTATAGTAGATAATGGTATTGACATATGTACATTTAAATACTAATGTTTCGAAGTTTTAAGGTAAGAACTTCTTAAGAATCGGGAGCAGGCCTGCACTTAAATTCCATGTCGTCTTTACACAGCCTGGTAATGTATTTCTTCTTGTTCAAATTATTTAACCTCAGTGTAATTGCTGCATTTATAAAATGGGAATTACAGGACTCTGTGGGATACAGTCTGCATACATATGGTTGCTGTTACTTTTGCAGTACTGTGGGAAAGCAAAATGCTGCACTATAAAAAAGTCCTGCTGAGAAAAAGCAACCTGGAGACTCATTCAGCTACATCCTACAAGGGGAAACAAGTATCTCTCCTTTTCTCTGAAACTCTGCATTTTGAGACCTGAGGATATGTAGGCAAGATGAAACTACTGTGCCTTGAAGCAGAGAACAAAGCAAGGTAAGAGAACTAAACTTAACAAAATGAACCTTTTCTTAGCACAGCATTTAAGTAACATTGTATGGCTATTGCTTTTCCACTGTAGCTTCCTGCGTTAGCCAGATTAAAGCTAATTTATGTGTCTGCATATGCTGCAGTCACACTCTTAATGGTGACTTCAGTATACCTCAAACCCTATGAATGTGTTTTGTGACTGTTAGCCTCATATTGACAATGACTTTCTGCTTGCCATAAGAGAGTTAAAACATCAAGAGAAATTATTTTTTGTTGCTTTGTATGTTTGCTTTTGTGCAATGTTTTCATTTTTGTGGTACTTTGTTACCAACTTCAAAAAGTTATAACAATGTCAATCATACCTGACAATGTCTTTATGTTTGGATTACAAAATTCAGCACATACAGATTTTGATTTCTGCTTAGATTCAACTAACCCAATCACGGTGCTCTTGTTCTTATCTCTGTCTTGGATTAGCCAAACACTCAATTTCAGTATGTAACTGGAAAGTTCAACGCTTTTTCTGAGGTTATGTGGACTTAAATCAGCTTTATGAGTATATTATAGTAGCATACCTTTTGTAGATCTTTATTTGGGTTTGTCATACTTATATGTGTTGTGGTCTCCCCCAAGGCGTAACAGCTTAAACTGTTGGAATTCAAACCATGCTGTAGAATGCTTATTCAATTACTATTGCAGCATCCTTTCTTTTGACAATATTTTTACAAAAACCTGTATTATTAGTAATACTATTTCTTAGCTTGCAGCATAAAGGTTACTCTGCCCAGTTAGAATGCAAAAGGTTTCCCTGTTACCTTCAAATTTGGTAAGTTTGCAAATTCCCTTCAATGTGTATATGTTTCATTGGAGATGAACCCTTGGCCCACAGATTTATCTTCCTTCCCTACACAAAACAGAAAAGGGAAGCGAGGAGCCAGACTTCTTTCATGCTTTCTTACTTTTAACTGGAAAATTTTTGTCAGTTTTAAGTGAACAGAAGAATTGTCACCATGCTTGCAGAGATGTTTTGCTTCTGTTTTTACCTACCTACAAAGACAAGAAAATACCTGCTTCCATCCTTGGAGGGCAGGAACACCTACGGCAGTGTTTTGGTTGAGTAGTAGTCATTAATGAGATTTATCTTGACAGAATATTTTTAAGCTCAAAGTAATTTGCTTAGTTTATGATCAGTTCTGCCTTTAACCCAGGGCAATGCAAGACAGGTGAGGACATACAACACAGTGGCAATGCTTTATGTGAACAGACAGGGAGAAGTCTGATCATTTTCACCATGACAGGAACCCAGGAACCTGTCTACTTACACAGTCATATTATGCTGACAGCCACTCAGCTGCCAGGATTAATGAAGAGTGCAGAACATCAGTTGTGAAGATATTTTTTTTTTTTTTTTTAGGAAAGCCTCTCCCTGCATCTTTTTAGGCACCCTTTTCTTTGCTGAAGTCAAGCGAATCCCTTCAGACTTCTGCTGTGATTATGTCTGGCTTTGCCTGAAAGAAAGAATTGACTGTTTTTTCACAGCAGTTATCTTAATGAATCTCTGACTGTGTTACCAGTTGGCCAACTTAGAACCTTCAGATAAAACCCCACTTTGTTTCAGTATATTTTTGTAACTGATTCTTTTTGACTCTGTTATCCATGTTCCATATCCATATATTCAATATTTCACATTTTTCCTTTTTGCACTTAAAGAATGCTAGGCTTTACGTTGGTGAAGAAACCAAGAAACTGTTCTGCTCAGGACTGTTTTGCTTTTGGAAGGAACTTGAGAGCACAGCAGAGAACTCTGCTCACCTAGAAATCTTCAACAATGAGTGTAAAGAATTCCTTTAAGGTGAATAGTGGAGGGAAGGGCAAAAGATAGGAGTTCACTCAATGAAGGCCTAAAGTGGTATTGGAGAGAACTGTTATGTTTTTGTTTGTTTGTTTTTGCCAGTCATGAGTTGTATGACAAAAGCTAGTATCTCACTGCATTTGCAGCAGAATGTTAGATGTAAGACCAGCTGGGAAGTTTTCCTAACATTTTCTTTTCCGACATCCTCCTCAGCTACAAAAGGAAATGCTTTCAGAAGTAAGGGAGGGATTTCTTTGGAGAGTTTTCAACAATGTGCTCAATTGATGTTGGGGTTCTAGTAGAAAATAAGAACATTAAGTAACAGTTTTTATTCCCTAACCATCAAACCTCATTAGCTTATGACTGAAAACGCTTATCTACCAAACTGCCTTCACACATGTCGCCAGATATACCTCCCCAGATGTGCTGTGTCAGCGCAAATCATTGTATGGTGTTTCATTTACATCTTGTGACTTGGTGAAGATTCAGTGCTGCTCTTTCTGTTACTGATTTGTTCGTCAACTCCAGTAGGCTAATCGTGGTTGGGAATTCTTGGTGCTTCTGAAGGAGGAGGCTTCTCTTGATGGACACTTGCCCACTGGTGATTTTTCCCTTCTATCCTACGTGTTCTGCCCGAGTCCGTGGTCTTGCAGGCTTCTGGTTTTCTTTGTGATGGGAAGTGGGACAGGGCAGTGCTCGGCTGAGTCCAGTGGCAGCCCTTATCCCCTTCCCTTTCAGCTCCAGTAGAAGTGCAAGACCGCGCTGGTGCGGGGCTGGCAGCTCTAGCTGAGTGAGGTGGGATACACCTGCGGACACCGGGGAGGAGCAGGAACCAGGCTCTGGGAGAAGTCACCGCAGGCTGAAGTGAACTCCGCCGCCATCCCTCCAGCATCCACGCGAAGCATCGCGGCACAGGGCACGGGAGCGCGGCCGCCGGGTCCAACGCAGCCCGGGGACAGCCCGGACCCCTCCGGGCCCCTCCTTGCCCCTCATTCCCCCTTCCCCGGTGTCGCGGCGAGGCCGCAGCGCCGTGCTGGGGCGGGCCGGGGCGGGCCCTGCGGCCGGGCACCGCATGGGAGGAGGCGGCTCCGGCGGCCCGCCCCCCGCCTCCCCCCGCCTCACTGCGGGCCGGCCGAGGGGCGGCCGCTCCGCCGGGCAGCGCGGGCGGGGGGACAGCGCTGACGGAAGGCAGCAGCTGGGGGACGGCAGCGGCTGGGAGATCCCCCCCCCCCCCTCCGCCCCCGCCGCCCCGGCCGGAGGAAGATGGAGCTGGGTTAGCCAGGGCTTGCGGGAGGAGCGGCGGCAGGTAAGGGCGGCTTTGCTTCCCCCTCCTCGCCCTCCTCCTCCTCCGCTCCGCGGTGCGGTGCAGCGGCAGGTGGCCCAGGTGTGCCCGGCCCGGCCCGCAGCGCTGCCCTTGCCTCGCCCCGGCCGCAGGAGATGCCGCTGCGTGCCCTCGGCTAAGGGCAAAGCCGGGCTTGGGGCGGGGAGGGGGGAGGCGGGCAGCGCTGCCGGCCCGGCCCCCGCCCCGGCCCCCCCAGCTCGCCGCCGAGCTCGGGGAAGGCTGTCTGCATTGCAGGCTCTCGCCCCGGCTCCGCTTCTGCATCCGCGGCTTCATCTCGGCACAGGAGCCCCCGGCCGGGCCGGTCCCGCTCGGGCAGGAGGCGTCGGCTCCTCAGCCTCCCCTCAGGGCTCTGGGGGCTCGGGCTGCGGCGGGGAGGTGCTGGAGGGGCGGTGGTGCGGGTGCTGCCCTGAGGGCTGCAGCTCCGGGGGGACCCGTCGGGGTCTGGGCCGGTGCCGGTGCCGGGGAGTTACGGGGCGTGACACGGTGCGGTGAGACAATGTGCACAGCGACCATAACGCAGCCAGGCACGCGACCTTACATAAGCTACATTCTGAAAGCTGTCTACCCCTACGCTCACCCTGGAGGTTGTAGGAACACGCCTGTTCTGAGCTCTCTCTGGAGCTCGTTATTATCCAGCTGAAATAACGGTGCAGAACCCCTCGTGAGCTGGTGCTGAAAATAAAAGAATAAATTGTTGACGACTTCTGCTGTAGTTCTGTTACAGTAAGTTCCTCGCTGCTGGTCACTGCCATGCACACACCACAATGCTCGCGGCTACGTGGACGTACACAGATCCACGCTGCAAGAGGGAAATGATGTCTCCTGTTGTCCCTTAAATGCGCCTTTTCGTTGGCCAACGCTAACGGTGTTGTATTTTAACAAACTCTTGAGGTTTCTCTCCTCAGGCCTGGTCAGTGTTACAATGTCTAGCATGTAGAAACAAATCTGGATGTGAACAGAAAGAAACCTTTCACGCTTTTAGTTTGACCTTCACCATATCAGACAAATTCTTGAAACAGATGGTCAGGGCAAGTATTTTGCACTGCAATGGTTGAAAATATGCTGCTGGACACAACATACACAGCTCAAATCACACACAAGATGAAACAGTGTTTTAAACTCTGTATCCAAAGGAAACTAATGTCTGATAAATTTGGCCCACATTTTATTTTAACTCAGTCCTTACAGATGACATTGACTTTAGGAAAGGTTACTATGGCACAGATTTAACGGAAATTATATTGAGCGTCTGGAATTGAAAGTACTCTTGGTAGGAAAAATACTGTGTTGTTTTTTATAATCTGTTGTTATAATGAGCGTGATAGCTGTTGAGGCTGGATCCATCTCCATTTCCTGCTGTTGATGTGAGTTGTCTAAATGGACTCCCTTCTACTGTGGATGAAGGCCAGATTTTGCCCAGGTGTGTATGTGCTTCTCTAACAAGGGCGCGCTGGAGTTTCCCCACTTGAGTGTGAAGTATAGCTGAATATTGACACCTGTCTTGCTTTGGGATGCCTTCTGTTATATCCTATAACCCATAGCCTTTTGATAAGGCTGTAACATCAGTTGTGGTGTGGAGTATAGCACCCAAATGAAAATGCACAGATTAACAACGATGATATGACATGGAATATATTTTTTTTTTTTTGTGGATCTTGTTCTTTTGTGGCACTATATTTTTATGTTTCTAGTTGACGAGAAGCTTCTCAGGACACCTTAATTCACGTATAAAATAACATATAGCATTTGAGGCTGTTTAAGGATCACATATAATAGATTAGTAACTTCATTTATATATATGTGCGTATGTGT